GAACAATTAATCAGTGGAACAACTTGCCTCCAGAAGTTGTGAATGCTCCAACACTGGAAGTTTTTAAAGAAAAGCTTGGACAGTCATTTGTCTGAAATGGTATTAGGTCTCCTGCTTCAGCAGGGGGGGTGGATTAGAGGACCTCCAAGGTCCCTTTGTTCTCTTTTCTCTGAGTCTATTTGTTGCAGTCCTTAATCCCCTGCTCAAAACTGAGCCCAACATTCATGGTATTGGACCTGGGTACTTGAGAGACCGCCTGCTGCCAATTACCTCCTCTAGACCCATTAGATCCCACAGATTAGGCCTCCTCCGAATTCCATCCGCTGGCCAGTGTCGACTGGCGACCACCCGGAGGAGAGCCTTCTCTGTGGCTGCTCCGACCCTCTGGAACGAACTCCCCGTGGAGATTCGAACCCTCACCACCCTCCAGGCCTTCCGCAAAGCCCTTAAAACCTGGCTGTTCCGACAGGCCTGGGGCTAAAGAGCTGTTGCCCCCGTCTCGAATGGTATGACTGTTGTGTGTTTTAAATTACGCATTGTTATGTGTCGTTTTTTTTTAATTTTCTGTCTGTATCCCCCTTCCCTGGTTTGAGTTGTGAACCGCCCTGAGTCCCCTTCGGGGGAAAAGGGCGGCATATAAATATAATAATAAACAATAAACAAAAGTGATATTGACACAGAATGCAGCAGCTCACCTATTGTTGCCTGGCTCCCTTTTCAGCAGAGTAACACTTACATTGCAGAAGCTTCAAAGGCCATCAGTTGGGCCTCAGGGTCCAATTCAAGTTGCTGTCCATTACTTACAATGCCACTTATGGCTTTGGTCCTCACCTTTGCCTTTGGGACCAAGGGAATCTGCTTATTGCATTCAGATTGCACGCAGGTTGGCAGGGCAAGTTGGCGATACCTCCCCGGGAGATTAACTGGGTATAGCTCTAGCTGAGGAGCTTCTCAGTCCCAGCCCTGTCCCTCTGAAAGGGCGTGTCCTGTAGTTTTGAAATGACTCCTCCTTGCAATCCTATCAGGTTGGCTTTTTGGAGCAGAAGATGCTATAAAATTGGGGACAGTTCTTTGGGTGATGATGGATGGCGGTAGTAGGGTTTAATTTTTGTGTTGTTTATTATTGTGGTTTTACTGTACGGTTTTATGGGTTTGACAAAGTGACCTACAAATACATGGAATAAGCAATTAAGAAATAAAAAATAGTCCACAAGCTATTGAACAGGTTGCTAGTCCTCATCCTCATGTAAAGTCATGTGCATGTACGTTTCAAAGAAATATATCAAGAAGAGAAACTCCTTATTTAAGCCAGCCACCAAGGATCTGGATCATACAAGCAGGGATCTAATGATGTCAGTGGAAGGGCCTCAACACAATTGCCAAAGGAAGGCTCTCAAAGTATATTCAAGGAGCAACATTAAATTGATTTATTAAAATATATACAGCATGTCGTTATGATGAATGGATTGTTATAAAGTTGTGTTTCCCATTTTTATTCCCTCCTCCTTCTCCTCCTCCTCTATGGCTCAGTAACATTTATATTTATCTCTCCTTCTCGCTAAGGATAACCACCTGAAAAACATTAAGGCAACTTTGCAATTCCCCACCTTGCAAATGACATCTTTTTGTTATTAATAATGAACAAAAAAAAATAGACAAAGTCTTCAGAAAAATGAAAGCAGCCTTCCCAGAAACATATTTCCAAAGAGCCTTTTAAAATTAAAACCAGCCCGACAGCTAAATCATATTACAGTTTTTACATTCAGAAGGGCATTAACCTTGGCCCATTTTAATGCTCTCTTTAACCAAGTCCTGAAAGGGATTTTTTTTAAAAAAATCCATGTATGGATGAATTATGCCATGTGGTCCCAATACCATCAAATCAGCATTATATGTGCTCCTTCATTATTCATTTTATATGGACACTTGTCTCTTCCTTATTACTGCTATTGTTAAGAGTCGTGGTGATACAGTGGTTAGAATAAAATATTGCAAGCTAATTTTGCCAACTGTCAGGAGTTCAATTCTGACTGGCTCAAGGTTAACTCAGCCTTCCATCCTTCCCAGGTCCGTAAAATGCTGGGAGCAATATTCTGACTGTAAACCACTTAGTGCTGTAAAGCAGGGGCAAAATCCTCCCGGTTCGGCCCAGTTTGGCCAAACCGGTAAGGACAAATGCCCTTGGTTCTGAGAACTGGTAGTAAAAAAAAAAAGAAGAAGAAACTTCCGAGGATCGCGCAGCTCACAGCTGATCAACTGTGAGCCATGCGATCATTGGAAGGGTTTTTTTTTCACTTTTTAAAGCATTTTTAGCAATAGCAATTAGACTTATATACCGCTTCATAGGGCTTTCAGCCCTCTCTAAGCGGTTTACAGAGTCAGCATATCGCCCCCACAGTCTGGGTCCTCATTTCACCCACCTTGGAAGGATGGAAGGCTGAGTCAACCTTGAGCCGGTGAGATTAGAACCGCTGAACTGCAGATCACAGTCAGCTGAAGTGGCCTGCAGTACTGCACCCTAACCACTGCGCCACCTCGGCTCCAGGACTGGCTCATGTTCCTCCCCAACCTCCTCACTGTCCAAATCTGCTGCCAGCTCCTCTGACCACTGGTGGGACACAACAAATGTAGTGTGGCAAATTGCAGTTCTTGAATGTCTCTTGGCCTAACCTCAAAACCTGTCTATAAAGGACCAGCCAATTCCTCTGTTAAGAGATCTCTGCTTTCTCCTTAAGTCTGCGGTGGAAAGGGGGAAAAGAGGGTTCAGAGTGAAACCACTTGTCCACATCTGATTTTTCCTTCTCCATTTCTCCTGAAACCCTCAACAGGTTATTCCAGAGACAATGCAGCCCTATTCTGGTTTGTTTCACTGCTACACCAAAATCCAAGAATTTCTCTTACGGCAAAGCCAAGATTCTTCTCACATCTTAAAGACATATTAATGAAACAAGATTTTCCCAGATTGGAATCTACTACAAGAAATGCTTGAAGTAGACTTTTCAGATGGCATAAGTAATACCGCAAACATCTCAAGAGGAATGAAAGAAATAACTAATTTATAAATTATCAAACCAACCTTCCCAGCTTCTTAGCAGGGCAAATGGCCAGATATTTTTCAGACCATGAATAAAGCCATCAGAAACACTAAAGTTGACACCCGTGTCAATTTTGGAAAACAATGAACAGAAGAGAAGAATAACTCGCTACAGAAGTTCTGAACAGAACTCCTTGAATAGGAAAATTGTAACCAGGGCTTAGATCACACTTTCCGTAAGGTCAGTGTATAATACAGTATAATTCCTGCTTTGTGGGGCAGGAAGCCCTTCTGAGGGGGCATAAAGAAAAGAGTGGTTATGGGAGATAATGCTCTTCTGACACTCATTATCAAAGGACACAATTTTACCACCACTCGGCATCAATAGGCTTTTACCATGAATGCCTTTTAGATGCTGCCTCGGCCAATAAGCTACCGTCCAGGAATAAAATGCAGCTCACACATCGTGACACCCTACTCCCACGTTTTTGACCTGATCTCACGCAATCGCATTTCTGAAAAAAAAAAAAGTTCCTGTTTGCTTTCATGGTTCTCTTAATTTAAAAAAAAAAAACTCTATAAAGTCAACATCCAGGCGTTTTGCATGGAAATTCTAAACTGTAAGAGTGCAACCCGCAATTGATTGCAATGGCATCTGTGTTTCCGTTCAAGGCATAATGCAAGATTGGGAAAGCAGAAAGCTGCTTTTTCATATGCTCAATTCTTTGTATTTGCGTATAGTAGCCAGGCAGTGCTAAAATCTTATTCTCTCTGCAGCCAGAGAGATGTTATCCTGGCTT